TATACTGGGGCCAGCTCATTTATACTGGGGCACATGCCCCAGTAAATGGGATCTGGCGACGCCGATGTCTGACTTAAAGGCTCTCTACTGTGGTTGCAGGGGGCTATCATTTTTAGAATCAATTTCAGAAGTTCGCCCCAGATGTTTTGGATGTTTCTCCCTTTAAATGTAATAATTTATTACAACACCATGAAGTTCCTGTAGAAATGGACCTCCACTGATTTGATAGACTGTCAGCGTGTCTTTTTGTCATTGACTGATGCAATGATGGTGGCCTGCCACTGCTGTATGGTGCTCGACTCTGTGAGCAAGTTGCACTGTCTTGTCAAGAGGACCCGCTGAAAAAGGGGCTAAAGGATTTCATAAACAAAAAGCAAAGAAACAAACAAACCAACAACAACAACAAAAAAACGCAACCATGCAAATTAGAACTAATTTCACACGGTTATCAATGGTGTATAGCAAATGTAAAAATCATTGACTAACAAGCAAATATGGAGGATTATGAACTTAACAAAGAAATAGCTCTTCTGAGCTAGATAATGTACTGTACACAATTATTACATCGTAAAGCTCTCTAAAAAGCAATAGAATAAAAATAGAAGAACTACACTATGTAAAAAAGTATTAAAATCAAAGAAACAATTGGACACAAACCGTAGTTTCAAGCTTAGCTTTAAATAATTACTAGGTGAGTAAATAAACTAAACATAGTGTCCATGAGTTATATTATTGCAAAGATTACCTCAGCATTAATCTAAGTTTAGCTGAGGTTATCTTTTGTTTCAACTTGAGCTTCCTAACAGACTGCTTTATATATACCAAAAATGTTCAAGTTTTTTCCTTCCACTTCACTGGAACAAAGACAAGCCTATCCTTTATAAAAAGTTCAGATCTGCTTTTTAAATCAGCTTTTCGTGGTAATACCTTTTGAACTTTGACGAGTTAGTATCACATTTTTTTCTGTTAAAATATATTCTAAAAAGTATAATTTAAACCTTTATTTATTTTTATATTTTCACACAAGGCAATTTAAATTTAAAACTTCCTTAAAATAATTTAGATTTTTGGCCACGTTCACACTGCAGGCCTTGATACTAAATTCCGATTTTTTTGTGAAATCTAATTTTTTTGCGTTGCCGTTCACATTTCCAAATATATGCGACTTGTATGTGATTTCCTGTTTGAACTGCATTCCTTCAGTTTAAGTGTCCCACATGTGCAGTAGGGGATGCAGTGACGTCACAAGCCAACATGCTCTATGTTTATGGAAGTAAACATGGATGGTAGCACTGGAGTGCAACTAGCTATCTTTCCAAACCTTAAAACCTCAATCTTTTCAAGATGGTTAAAAAAATAAAAATACTCTCCGCATCATCATCTGCCATGGTGTTTGTTTTTCTTGCCGCTTCTTCATAGCAAGGCCCAGAATAGTGACCTTTGTCGGGTATTAATTGTGTTCAGTTTGGATGAATCTGACCCGGCCGTTCACACACAGGTCGCATTTGCAAATATCAGATTTATATCGGATTCAGGACCACATAGCCAAGTGGCCAGGCTCGCATTGGAAAAAATCAGATCTGTGTTGTTCAGAGAGCCATGAAAAGATTGGATCCAGGTCACATATGGGCCAAAAAAATCAGATTTGGGTTAGTTAAGGCTGCAGTGTGAACGTAGCCTTAGATGCATTGCAGTGTAACTGGCTAATTATTCAGACTTCTGGTAGCCATTTCATTGTTTAAAAAGTTTTATTTCATTGTACTTTAAATTCATTAATTGAATGTTATATAAATCTTATCAGGTTTAACATACAAGGCAAGAAATTACAATCACTTACTAATACACTGATGAAAAAAAAAAATCCAGATTTTACACAAACCAATGTTTGCAAATATGTTTTGTGTAGAAAGAAGTACATGAAAACACAATGAAATCTTTGTTGAGGTCTTGTTTAGCAAACAAAATAGAGGAAAAAGGGCAAACAAGAGCACTTTGAATGACAAGATTTAAAATATACATATACAATAAAATCTATCGCTGAATTTATTGTAGAAAACACAAGAGGAACAATGTTGCTGATGACTTTTACAACATTTCGTCTTTCTAATGATTTCATGGTTTTGAAGAAGCTATTTTCAGGGAAAACTGTGATGGCAAATTATATTCTTTGATGAGCTGGATTTAAAAACACACAGATACATGAACCAGAGGTTAATCAAACGTGAACATAAGATAAGTAAAAAAAAATAATAATAATCAAATGCTAAATAAGTCTCACCTTTGCTAAATCAACTTCCATCTCTGATTCTGACATTTTGTTGGGAAGCTGTAGCCTCATCTTCACAGCAAAAACATAGTCTGTTTACAATAAAATACACAACATTTTACAATCAAAAAACATTTTTAATTAACATAAAACAATCTTCTAAAATTGGACACAGAATATGCAGTAGCTATTATTTATTTTAAATATAAATGACCACTGTGGAGAGTGAATATCATTCTATAAAAAAAAAATCTATCAATCTAAAAAAAAACATTACTTTTTGAGGGAAGGAAAGAAAAGTAGAAGAACAACTTATTAACTTACTTGGACCTATTTGTTGTTTGAACGGGTTTTTTTCCCCCCACAAGTTGTTTATTGTTGACATGGAAAGAAAACAATAAATGGTTCAATTTAGATTCATATTTTTCCTCTTTAAATCCCAACATGTAAATCAGTCCAAAATAAACATATAATCAATTAAGAAACAACAACTTATAGACTATGCTCAGCTCTATAATAACATTCAACCCTCTAAACAACAGCTTAACTCTATAATAGGTATATCTGTTGAACATAAGGCTCAAGTTAAGTGCCTTACCGGTAGCTGCCATGAAGCTGACTCCACTGCTTCTGACGTTTTTAAAAACAGAGAACAGTGTGAATGTGTAGTATGTCCGAGCAGTGAGAAATGAGACTGTGTGAGTTATTGGTCCATTTCCATCTGTTGCAGTTATATTTGTCTCTGTGCCATTAAACTGCAGAACAAAGCTGACATTGTTGTTGATTTTATTCCACTGCAGAGTTATACTGGTCTCATTTTGATTTGATGCTCTGATGCCATCCGCATTTTCAGGAGCTATGACAAGAACATAAGAAAAGACTGAATAAATTCCCTGAGCCTAAGTGGTTATATAGTTTTCTCCTTATGCTTTACATTGAAGGGTTTCAACACACCTCACACTTGCAGTTAAATACTACATTATTCATATCTCTGGCAATAATATTAAAAATAATCTTTTAAATGGTAAATGGCCTGTACTTATATAGCACATTTTCAAGTCAGGAGAGTTGACCAAAGCGCTTTACACAACATTCAGTCATTCACCCATTCACTCACACACTGATGGTGGTTAGATACATTGTAGCCATAGCTGCCCTGAGGTTCACTGGCAGAAGCGAGGCTGACATACACTGGTGCCACCAGTCCCGCTGACCACCATTGGTAGGCTTGACCTGACAACCCTCCGGTTGTAATGGACACTCCTTTCAATGCCACTGTTGCCCCAGAGGCCCAATTTTACCAACAGGATTTTGCTGATGGGAAGTAACATTTATAAGCCAAAGTCCTGTTAGATTTACATGTATGTACTCTTATGTGAATTAATTTAACCTCATGTGGACTAAAGTATTACCATGCTTAGATATTAAATGATTTTGTATTTTTAACTTTAGGATGTGTGTTTAAGGAATGGAATGTGATGAAGGATGTTTTCTCATCATTTCCAACTCCTTTTTGTTTCCTGAACGATTAGATGACCTTACCTTCAGACCCCCTTTAGCTTGGGGAGGTTTTATGGCTGACTGTTTTACAATCTAAGGAGGTTCAGATATAGGACATATTTACAAAGATTATTCCAACAGCATGATCCTGAGAACAGGGACAACAGAGGGATCTGGAAATTATTTGAGAAGGAACTTAAATTGTGATTTTTGGATCCCTTGAGTCAAATCACATGCTTGGGCTGGTCTTGCCTCATGGCTTTATAGTGTAATCTCTGCAAATATCTTTGCCTCAAGTAAAGTGCATGATGTTAACTAAATGCTCAGATTTTTCTGCTTCATATCAAACAAACATGCTAAAGGGATGTTTTCCAAAGTCCCAGCCTACATCTGATAGGGAATCTGTGGGGGAATCTAATGATAAGGGAGATGGAACGAAGGTCATCCAAAAAAAGTTGTCAAAACACCAGTGGGAAGATGTATAGTGCCAGTTAAGGTTTGCTGTGACGCAAAATGTTTTCAATTCATTATTAAGGTGGGTTTAAATAACTTTCTTTACAAATGGAAACCAAGTCTTTGTTAATTTCAATTAATTTGTAATCTGTCTCTAGCAGGGGTGTGGAAGACTTAATATAGACCTTATTCACTGATGTTTAACAACAGTTCAAACCACCCAAAAACAGTTCTGTTTGAAACAATAAATCAAGGTAAATATCTTACCAGTAACTGCAGCTATGCTGACTCCACTGCTTCTGATGTTTTCAAAAACAGAGAAGAGAGTGAACAGGTATGTAGTTCCAGGAGTGAGAGATGAGACTGTCAGAGTAACTGGTCCATTTCCTGCTGGTGCTGCTACATGAATCTCTTTTCCATTATAAAGGACAATGAAGCTGACATTGTTTTTAACTGGATCCCAATGTAGAGTGATGCTGGTCTCATTCTGTCTCAATGATCTGAAACCTTCTGCATTTTCAGGAGCTGAAAGAAAACAGTTTCAGCAGTTATCTCTTAAGCTGGCTGGATCATGAGATTAGGTTTGTAAAGATAACAGTACTTTGTCTTTACACATAATTCAATTTAATACTTTTTATTTTGTGTCCTATATGTACACAACACCTCTCTCCATTTGACAAATTCTCCTTTTTTCGCTTGCATCAGGACTGAGTCATAGGACAGTGACTTAAGACTTTGAAACTGCTATAGCTGCTTCTTTTTTACACTCCTTACAATTTGTCTCTTTGCATGCTACCCACCTTTTCTTTCATTAATAGGTCTAAATTTTGTTAACTATGATCAATGGATAAACTTTATCAATGCTCTCAAACTACATGTGGAACAAGCAGCCCTCTCTGCAGATACTTACCAATTTAAGTCTTTAACTGCAGAACAGATAAAATCTTAAATAATTGTCTATGATGTCTATGATACATCATACTTTACAAAGTTTATGCATACTAGAGTGACATCCTATTGATATAGTTTGAAGGTAAAGCATGTAATAATTACAGGGATCTACTGACAGACATCTAAGATATTATTTATATGGATGTTATTTATTATCACCTCTGAATTGAAGTCTTTGTCTTTATGCTTGCCTTGCCTTAGAAATAGCTATTTATAAAAAGATAGGACTGGGTTTGGATTTGTGGAGGCAGACATCTGTTGGGCTATGGCAGCGCAGAGCTGACACACTAGTGACAGCTCTGCGATCGGCATTATGCCCGAATGGGACTGCAGCAAGTTGGGCCTATATAAATCCTACACAGATTAATGAAATACTATTCATAAAATGATCTATGTAAACTGGAATTACGCAAGCCAAATACCTATTAGACAATATTACTATGTGGTGAAGAAAAATTATGTAATAAAAAAAATAATTGATCTGCCTCTCTAAACGGAACTGTCGCTAGCATCACAAGTCAAGATCTCATCACCTTATTGTAGTTTTGGTTGAAAATATTTATTTCAGATTTCTTGTGCATATTTTTTAAAATATAATTTTTCATTTAGGTTGATTAAATAGTCACACTCAAGTTTCCATACTTTTCATATCCAAAACTCAACAGGAATGGTTTAGTCAAGAGTTTTCAACTGTAAAGTGCCTTGAGATGACATGTGTTGTGAATTTGGCGCTATATAAATAAACTGAATTGAATTGAATTGAATTAATATGTTTGAGTTGGAGCTGAAAGATTATTGTCAATAAACTCTTATATTTTGAATGGAGGTTTTGATTAATTTATTCCATGTGTATGCAGAGTTATCTGTTTCATCATGATTTGAGCTTGATTCACACATTGATTTGTTGTTCTAACATGCACTCAGTGGAGCGGGAGCTCACAAACAATATATGAAAGCCCGAATATGATCTTAAATAACATATTTACCACTCCTACTGAGGTAGGCAATAAATATATTATTGTTGTACAACAGGACCAAGGAGGACATTATTGTTAAAATTGAATAGTAAAAAAGGCTGATTGGATTTTGCCAAGCAACATGTATACAAAGCACTAAACTTCTTAGAGAATTTCTTATGGACAGGTGAAACAAAAATAGATATTTATTTTAAGGCACATAAGCTCTATGTTCTCCAATGAAAAAAAAAAAACATGTTAAGAAAAGAACACTATTCCTACTGTGAAAAAAAAAGAGGAGACTGTGATTTTTTTGGGGAGGCATTGCTTCATCTGGCATGAATTCTCATAATTGACAAGTGGTACTTGGGACCTTGGGAACAAAAATACCCTTCAAAACTGAGACAACAGGAGCAATTTGCTTATGGAAATCTGCTTACGTTTTCCTAGGATGTCATTCAAATGTGGCATACTAGTGTCCGGCCACCTGGGATCTTTCTAATGTGCTTATTGAGTGATACACACATTTAGATCAATCAGAGTTACACTGAAAGTCAAGGGCCAATAAAACAGCCTGCTTTAGTTTAAAGAAGGTTTCTATTTTCTATTTTAGATTAGTCTTGAATCTAGCTACAAAGGTTTTTTTTTTATATATATAAAAAGATTTCACATTAATCCTGTAACCTTCTTGAATCTAATCAGACAGGGACACAACCTACTGAATGTGACCTGGAGTCAATATGAGAGTTTTTCTCCTTTTTTTTCTTTACACAATCTTAAAAAAGGTACTTGCGTTTAGGTTTAGTTGGCATTGCGGTTGTTGTTTGGTTGGTACAGGAGACGCTGAGGTCACTGTCAGTCCCGTTGGAGATGAAGTTAATGAAGCCTGGCTGGTTGATGCTGATCACACTTTTGATCCAGCTCTCATAATTCGATACTCTGGTGTAGACGCCTGGGAAATCTGGCACAGCACATCCTAATCCAAAATTTACAATTCCTGATTGAATCCAGCGTTCACCCTGCTTGCTTACCATCGGACCTCCAGAATCCCCCTTAAAATTCAGAAAACATTTTTAAATTAAATTACAGCTATTTTCTGCAAACATTAAAGCCCCTGTCACACCTTGACAATTTAGACCATCGTGTGCCTGATGTACGAAAAATCTGGCAAAAACCCTGGCATATGCTTGATAAGTTATGGGTATGTTTTGTGTAAGTTATGAGCATGCTGAAGTACGCTTGCACAAGTCGACTTACCGGAAGTACGCCCTACATGTCTCGTAAGTTACAGATAATTTATCTGATTGTTGATATATGTTTGCCGTAAGTTACTCATAAGTCATTGTGTCTAGCTTATCCAAAACCTATGAGTAACTTGTGCAGAACTTATCCGTAACCTATAAAGAACTAATCTCCAATGCATATCAATGTATTTGACGTGTTCCAGACGACAGCTGAGCAATTTTTTAACTTACAGCTACTGTTTAATGGCATATTGGCAGCGTTCACAGGAGGAAACTGTCAGTTCTCCTCCAAACTGCAGCATCCCCATAATAGGGTGAGCAAGAAGGTGAGTGTGAGGGGTCGTCCCTGCATTCACGCCCATGACCAACAAACCTTCTAGCAGACATGACACTGAATCTGCTGTGTCTGTAAACCTTCTTTCTTTCTTTTTCCTGTTATTTATTTTTTTGGGGGGCGTAGGTGGTAAACAGCAGCTAGGTTAATACCACTATCAAAAACATCTTTTTATGCAGACCGGACGGCTCCGGGCGCATCGCTGCTCCTGAGGGGAGAAGCTTTAAATATGCTTAATAATTAACATAATGCATAACATACGGCATTATACTGCCATATGTTATGCATAAGTTAGGCTGTCGTTGGACATAATTGGACTGGACTGGATTAACTATGAAAAAATACATAGAAAGTTCAGCATATGTAATTGTTTAGGAGATTCCTGGCTGTCGGGCATTCGCTGTCTAAATCAGCAAGGTGTAACAGGGCCCTACCGAACTGATGAACACGGATAATAACCTGACAGGAATCCTTCCCTCCCTCTTGTAAACCAGCACATATCATGTTTTCAGTGATGGTGCTCTCTCCATAGCTGCACTTGCACTGTCTGTTCCCCACAACCGGTACATTTACCTCCATCAGGTTTTGAGGAGAAGGAAGAGGGACTGAGGAGAAAAATCCAGACTTTTATTAATACATTTATTGTACTGTTGGAGATACATAGGTTTGGTTTATCTTTATTCCTCCGTATGTTGTTTTTTTTCCAACCCACCTCCACTTCCAATGTTTCCCCAGCCAGTTATCCAGGAGTCGACCCCGGTGTAAAAGGTGCTGTTCAGGGCAGCTAGGCATACTGGTAAGATGTATTGGGTGAAATTTACTGGTGCAGACAGCCTCAGAACTGCAATGTCATTGTTAAAGGAGGTAGAAATGTAGTCTGGGTGAATAGTGATCTGAGTTGCTTTACGAATTACTTCATTTGGGTTGGATCCCTCCTGACTCTGACGACCAAGATATACAGTCAATAAATATGGTGACATACTCCACCTGTCAAAAGAGTGGGGGGGGAAAAATAAAGATAGTTTTATATACAAACCAACAGTGAGATAACAGAGACATGTGTCTTGTGGCAGTTTATCAGCATGTTTTATAGAATAGAGAGTTGTTTTGTGACCATTCTTCTCCATCGTATTAAAAATGTGGCTGCTTTTTTCCCCCCACATTTCTTTTTACTTTTGTTTGTTTGGGAAATAGAGTGGATCTGATACAAAATGTTCTTACTTTTCTTTAAGTTTTATGTGTGTTTTACCAGTCACCTCTTTTGGGCTTCAAGGTAATTTTTATCTTAATTTTAAGTTTTCCTCAATGGGTTGATGTATGTTTACAAGTGTCTGTGTTGGCTCGTGATGGCTGGCAAACTGTCGGGAGTGTACCCAAACTTTCCCCTGAAGGACTACTAGAAATGCACCAGCCCCCCATGACCATGATGGAAAAGCAGTAGTGGATGGATGATGGATGGACGACATTATTGTATACGTTGTGTTTTTTCATAATAGGTGCATTTTTAAAGACAAATATGAAATAATAATTTTATTCATGACAAAAAATAAACCATAGAGTTCCTACTTTACCACCACTTTTTGATATCATCAGCCATTCATTTCTAAAGTGAGTTGTTTACAATTGTTTTGTTGCTTACCTTTGAACACAGTGAGCAGTAGTCAGCACCCATTGGTCATTGATCAGAGATCCTCCACAGAAGTGTTCAAAGATGTGCAGGCTGACCTGCCAGGGCCAGCTGCCTGGAGGAGCTACCTCTCCTCCAACAATCCTGGTTTTGAGCAACTGTCGACCACATACTAAGAAAAATTTAGATTAAACCTTGGATCAATAAAACTTATCAAACAATAAGATATTAAACTAAATTCTCTCAACATTTTGTTTAATACAAAACAGCTGATGTGTTCTTACCCTCAGATATGTTTACTGTTATTCGGTTGATATTGGGTCTTGTACAGGAAACATTAAAATCACTCTCAGTCCGGTTGGATGTAAAGTTTATGAAGCCTGGCCTGTTTCTGGTGATGTGACTGTTTATCCAGTTATTGTACTGGGACACTCTGGTGTAGACTGCTGGGAAATATGGCTTGGCACAACCAACACTAAAACTAACAATTCCAGCCTGAATCCAGCGATCATCCTGCTTACTAACCAGTGGACCTCCACTATCTCCCTTTAAGACCAGAAACATTTTATGTAAAGCAGGTGAGAAGAGGCATTAAGAACAGGAATTGAAAAAAATATGAAATAGTAAAGCAGTAAAGACTTACAAAACAGGGTCCCTTTCCTCCTTCACGAAACCCAGCACATATCATGTTTTCTGTAATACTGACATTACCTATGTCACCATAGTCACAACTGCATTGTCCATTTCCCACAATATCAGCCTCCACTTCCAAAAGGTTTCCAGGTGATGGAAGGGGATCTACAGGAATAACAAATTCAGTTCATTTACTTACAATTACTTAGGAATTTGAGAGAACAAAACAAATCTGTGAATGTATCAGTGAACTGCAGCTTTGTGATCACAAACATTTTCCAGTTTTTTTACTTGTTCTACAACGCGGTTGTCCGCACTGTGTTGATTCAATTTCTGATTTTAAGGCCACATCATACTTTCAGATCCTTACTTTTACTATTTAAATAATTCAGTTGTGCTCTATATAAGGGGAAGAAAAATGCTTTAGTGTGAATTTGTTCATTAATGAAGCCCCTCAGCCGTTAATTTGTGTGATTTTCTAAAATCCACCTCTCTACAACTGTTTTGCTAGTGGTCTCTTTAAATCCAGAAGACCTGTTTCATTCCCCTATCACTCCAATGTCATCTATGTTTTGTGCTTTCCATTCCAACACATTTAGCTATACATGTAGTCCAGTAGCTGACATAATAGCCCGAAAAAGTTATTTATAGACTCAAGCAGCAATAATATTAAAAGCTAAATTCAACTTTTGGGGATATTTAGAGACTCAGAGTAGACAATAAATGTATTTAAAAGCAAAACAAGTGAGCTTTATATGAATGATAATTACTCTTTAAAGGAGAGGTATTTATCTTAAACTTACCATTAAATCTAATATTTCCCCAGCCAGTAACCCATGATTTAACCCCACTGTGGAAAGTGCTATTTGAGGCCGCCAGGCAGACCGGAAAGATGTAACTGGTGAAATTCACTGGTAAAGACAGTTTCAGGAGGGCAATGTCATTTTCAAAGAGTCCAAAGTCCGGATGAAGAATAAACTTTGATACTGTCCGGGAGATTTCATTTGGGTTGGATCCATTCTGAACCTGACGACCCAGATACACTCTTATAATAGCAGGGTTGAACCTATAAGGCAGACGGAAAAAACAATTACTTGTTTTTTGAATAGATATAACATTTCCCTGGTACTGCAATTTGAGTTAATCTGATTTCATATTCTGAGTATAAATGACTTCTGTGATTTGTGTTTTGCATTTTCTATATATTTTGTCTTTTTGCATCATATCATCATCATCCCATAAAGTAAAACATTTCCATGCTCTTTTTGCTAAATATGTATTTTTTTTTTAAAGAGAAAAAAAATACTTTTCTTAAAGTTTCTTACTTGAAAAAGTTATAATTGTTTAGCGTTTTAAATACATTTCATTTAGCTAGAGTCAGGGCAATAATACAGTGTTTGGTTGCAGAGCTCTGAACTAATGAAAGCAGGACATCATCTTTATAGGCTTTTTAGCCGGCTTTTGCTACCTGTGTGAAATACTGCTACTGTATGTCAGCTTATGGGTAGGTTGGACCTTTACCTTTCTTCTAATGCTAAATGCTGATATGGTATACCTGAAACTCTGGTAGGCCTCTCGCTTGTTTAAATCTTCAGTTTGCATGATGGTTAATTAAAATATTGCACAATAAGATCAAGGGACAAAATTGCATCTCATTCTGTTACAGTTCAGTTCAGTTCATTATGTTTAATTTTATTTTATGTTTTCTATTTGCCCAATGGCTTGAATTAAAATGTCTTGTCAATTGGTCACTTTGCTGAGAATGAGTGAATGCCTCCCCAGGTTAGTTAATTTTTTTCCTAGTTTTTGCAATAAAACACTGATTGCAAGAACAACTACATTTGAAAAAAAATAAAAACTCACTCAACAAACTCAACACTCAACAAAAATATAGTATAAATGCAACATTTCTGGTTTTGCTTTCATTTTTTATGAGATGAACTGAAAGACAAAATTTTTTCCACATACACAATATAACCATTTCCCTTAAACATTGCTCGCACACAAGTCTAAATCTATGAAAGTGAGCACTTCTCCTTGCTGAGATAATCCATCCCACCTAATGGTTGTGCAATATCAAGATGTAACCAGTCTGTATCTGATGTGATGACCTTTTGCCTCACACAGTGTAACACATCTGCTTCTCATAGAGTTGATCAGGTTGTCGATTGTAGCCAGCAGAATGTTGGTCCACTCCTCTTCAATGGCTGTGCAAAGTCGCTGCATATTGGCAGGAACTGGTGTAATATACAAATATCCCGAGCATCCCAAACATGCTCAATGAGTGACATGTCCGGTTAGAATGCAGGAATTGGGGCGTTTTCAACTTTCAAGAATTGTGTATAGATTATTGCACCATGGGGCCAGTGCATTATCCTGCTGCAACATGAGTTGATGTTCTTGGATGTTTGGAACAACAATGGGCCACAGGATCTCTTCACGGTATTTCTGTGCATTCAATATTCCATTAATAAAATACACCCTTTTTCTTTGTCCATTCTATAAACCCACACCGCCACCATGGGCCACTCAATCCACAACATTGACACAAGAAAACCGCTCCCACATGACCATGCCATCTGGCCTGAACAGTATAAACCGAGATTCATCCATGAGGAGAACACCTTTCCATCATGCCAGATGCCAGCGAATGTGAGCATTTGTCCATTCAAGTCATTTACTGTATGACAACGAACTGGAATCAGGTGGGGACCCCAATGACGGCAATGAGCATGCAGATAAACTTCCCTAATACGGTTTCGTACAGTTTTTGCAGAAATTCTTTGGTTATGTAAATCAATTGTTTCAACACCTGTCCAAGTGGCTGGTCTCAGATGATCTTGGAGGTGAACATGCTGGATGTGGAGATCCTGGGCAGGTGTGGTTACATGTGGTCTGCGGGCTGAAACGCCTTTGGAGATGGCATATGCTGGAGAAATTAACATTAAATACACAAGCAACAGCTCTGGTACACATTCCTGCTGTCAGCATGCCAATTGCATGCCCCCTCAAATCTTGCAACATCTGTGGCATTGTGCTGTGTGATAAAACTGCAACTTTTAGAGTGGCGTTTTATTGTGGGCAGTCTAAGGCACACCTCTGCACTAATCATGGTGTCTAATCAGCATCTTAATATGGTACACCTGTGAGGTGGGATCAATTATCTCAGCAAAGGAGCAATGTTCACTATTACAGATTTTGACTGGATTGTGAACAATATTTGAGGGAAATTGTTATATTGTGTACAGTATTTGGAAAAAGTTTTAGATCTTTGAGTTCATCTCATAAGAAAAGGGAGCAAAACCAAAAGTGTTGCGTTTTTTATTTGTTGAGTGTATTTGGATAAATTTAGAGATAGACAAGGATTCATGTATATCATGCATATCCTAATGGCTTACCCGGAGAGGCAGTGAGCAGCAGTCAGCACCCACTGTTCATTGATCAGAGATCCTCCACAAATGTGGGTATTGATGTGCAGGCTGACCTGCCAGGGCCAGCTGCCAGGAGAAACGTCTTCTCCTCCAACAATCTTGGTGTTGAGTGGTGCCAAACCGCACTCTAACAAAACATGCAGAAATTAAAGGGGTGATATGTCAGTTCCAGGTGCTCCCAGAAAAAACAAACAAAAAAGTAGATTTTTTTTTTTTAAACTCTAATTTGTGTTAACCTGAAATCAGGGAAACTCTTGAGTTTTTTGTTCGTCAAAAATAGTTTACTCCAACATCTGTTGCCGTGGTAACATTGTACCCAGCGCTACACTGGTCAGGAGCAGGTTTTCTTCAGTCAACTCAGTGTGTTTTGTCTCTGCCCTACTTAGAGCGTATTATATTGTTTTATTTCTTGATTCAGTCAAGATTCTTTGTATAAAAAAAAAAACAATAATTCACTAGGTCCGTTAAGACACATTAGGTTTTAAAGACAAGCATTTCTTGTCCTTTTGACGAGAATCTCATTAAAGACTGATGGGCACTTTTTCACAGAGAACTTAATATTACAGGGGGATGTTTTTACAACTCAGTTGACAGGATATGAGATGAATTTGTTTTTGCTTTTTTAATTTGAGTGAAATGTGGATATTTTTTACAGTACATGTAGAACTACTGAAATTATTTCTAGATTATACATAATTAGATGATCCCTGAGCCTGCAGGGATGTAGGGTAAGTATTAGAGCAAAATCTGAAGCCATTCTATTAGACTGAATAACCGTTAATATTAACTATTTGTTGGGATAACATCGAAAGCAGCTGCAAACTGCCACTTAATATTTACTTTGTAAAATAAAATGAGAAGGATCCCCAAGAGATGATGCACAGGTCCTGCATGTTGCAACGTTTTATACTCGATCTTCACCTACTGCCAGGGGATTTGATCTATAAAGAATGGATTGATCCACTACCATTCAAGAAATAAAGTAGTTTTTCTCCACGTTATTGTGGTTGCAACAGGCAATATTGATATGTATTATTTTGACTGAATATTTATTTCTGATATCTGAAGAAAAAGTTTTTTTTCTAGTCAACATTCACATTAGAATAAACATTCCGGATTTCACAAAATGACTTTCAGATCTACATATTCCTATTGGTACAGGTCATCGTTATTATTATTGGGACTATGAATAAATGTATTTCAGATATGTCAGGGTGCTCGCTTTCTCTCCTCCTCATGCAGGTGGCTGCTGATGAATGGGGAGGTGCTGAGCACAGGTGTTCTGTGTTTGTGGCTGCCGGGATTGCTTAAGGCTGATTTATACTTCAAAACTAGGTCATCTGCATAGGTGTCACAGTGAACTCAAAGACGTCCCTGCCCCCACCGCAGACACTCTGCTGCAGCTCTCCCTAATTGTAGCTGAACGCAGACAGTGCCACAGACAGGAGGCCGGCTTTTTTTGTTTTTATGACCGCAGTTGCGAAAAACAACTCGTGACGATGGACCAGCTAGAAGAGCAAGGTGTGCGGGGGGACCCTTTTTCCACCTGGATCCCTGCTCTTTTTTGCCGTCATGTCCCCCCGTTGTCAGACAAACTTGCCCCCACTTCTTCTGCCCTATACGCGGTGGGTCTAGATGCTTGCGAACCTTCGGCCACAGCAATCCCGCTCCCTTGATAAACGACCAATCACATTTGCTTTATGCACTC